AATCCCTCTTCAAATCCTCTAAAAAAGCTCCAAGTCCGTACACAAATGGTGAAATAAGGCTGAAAATCGCGAAGGGAAGCTTTTATAGTTTATGCTCCAGGGATTCCGCACCTGCGGTCCCATAAGCGTACCTGCGCTACCGCTTCTGCGGTTTTCACTTAAGGGAACCAACTTCCGCACCTGCGTCCCAGGCCTCGCACCTGCGGGCTCGCAGGAGCGGTTAACCATCCGCTCCTACGACTAAGTCCGCTCCTACAGCCATCATCACGCGTCTGCGATCATCGCACCTGCAGTCCCCAATCCGCAGGTGTGGAAACAACAGAAGCAGAAAAATTCCGCAACTCCACTCCAATTCCAAACCTTCCCCCAACCATCCAAATCCATCCTGAGGCCTTCGGGACCTCAAACAAACATGCCAACAAGTCACATAACACTATTCAAACTTATTCCAACCTTCGGAACACTCAAAACAACATCAAAATATCGAATCACCCTCGGATTCAAGCCTAAGGATTTCAACACTTCCGAATTTCGCAACCGATAAACCTATCAAACCTCATCCAAATGACCTAAAATTTTGCACACACGTCACAAGTGACACAACGGACCTACTCCAATTTACGGAATTCCAATCCGACCCTGATATCAAAATTTCCACTACCAACCGGAAAATGCCAAAATATCAATTTCGCCAATTCAAGCCTAAATCTACCACGGACCTCCAAAATATATTATGATAAAGCTCCTAAGTGCCAAATCACCTAACGAAGCTATCGAAACCATAAAAACCCGATTCCGAGATCATTTACCCATAAGTCAACTTTCGGTTGACTTTTGGGTAAATCAATGGCCAACATAAGAGACTAAGTGTCTCATATCCCTCCAAAACTACTCCGAACCCGAACCAACCAACACGATACGATAAAATGTAGCTGAACAATATAGAAATAGAAATGGAGAAAATGGGGTTGTAACTCATGAAACGACCGGCTGGGTAGTTACACAACCCAATATGATAAAATCAAACTCATCAATTTAAACTTCAAACGTAAACATTCATGTAGCACCCATGACCCTAGAATAATAAGGTTCTTAGCCACTTATATTCATATAATCATCAAAAATAATGTTTTAACATATAAAATCAATGTATACTAGAAGAAGAACGGAAGAATTGATCTAATCCGTGCTCCCGAGTGTTTCGTACTTTTTTTCCTCTCTAAGTAGCGTCCTCCTTGCCAAAATAGGTTTAGGTTTGCTTTTATATGAGTTATGGGCGCCTTGGGATCGAAATAACCCATTCCCCGTCGAAATAGGACAACTTCACGTCATTAGCGCCCAGGGTAGCGTGGGGCGCTGAGTTTTTTGAACATTCTGTTTTGAGCGCCACATGTGGCGCCCCACGCTGCCTGTGGCGCTACAATGTGCACTTTTCCCTTTTCTTCCCATTTTCGCTCCAATTCGCGCACCTTCGTCCCAAATTGCATCTGGATGATTCCTACCAAGAGAAATACCACAAATCTAAAATCTACGATACATGAGCAAAATGCGAGGTAATATACATAAAAATATGCATACTTTATGCCGAATATCAGTTATGTAGGGATCAGTACGACAAACCAAATGTGTATTACTAATATAGTGGTATAATATATTTGTAATTTATATATTATTTTATGCAAGATAGATTGTGGAATAAAAAATATGTGTTCTAATTATACAAGATAATTAAAACTATTTAAAACAAAAATGACATTAAAATTAGAATTTCCTTCTTGACAATCTTAGTGATACGTCCAGAATTCTTTATAGGTAAATATTTATCCACCCTAGGTGCTTACATCAAACCAAATTTACTTGCCACGGTCAAGTGATTTTATGAAGTAAAAATATGCAGTAATTGATTGTGGAAGTGAATTTGCAAACACATGCCATACATCTATTGGTTTGGCGTAAATAATAGCCAGAATTTTCATATGTTGATCACCAAGATTTGCCACAAAACATGGCAATCTCAAAATGTTATATTGGAAAGTTCTGGCGATTACTAAGAGCACTTCCCAAATTCTACCCAGATGCTACTTTCCCAAGACTTTTCTTGCCGGGAAAAAAATTTAAATGGTGGTTCTAAAAAGGTCCATCAAGCGTAATTTTCTGCTCCTTAATTAGCTAATTGATGTTTAATACAGCAAAAATTCTTATTGTGATGGCTACATTAATAAGTAATCCCAAATAATATAGATGTTAGATCTACTTATTAATTTGAAAATATCTTATGAGATTTCATGCTCTATTTCAGATTATTTCATGGAAAAATAATTAATGTTTAACCAAAATCAAATAGCTACCAAACAAATCAATCAAATCTCTTTGAATCTGTATTAAATTTATATATAGATGACTACAATTAGGAGTAGTGCACAAATATCAACCCAAATCAAGAAAAATAAGCACAACATCATCCTTTTTATGCTAATGGAAAATTTCATCTATATTTATCTTTTGATGTCAATGATTTTCTCAATTCTTTTTGTAGTTTCTGGCAATGAAAAACCAATTTTAATACCCCTTAACTACACTTCTATTATGCAAACTAGAAAAGAATTTATGTCTATTGATTCATCCAATCTTCCAGATCCTCCAATGCCATCTTATACTTTTACTCTTTACCATCGCGATGTATTTGAAAAATCAAACTTCAAGGACTACGACTCCATGCTCAGAGCTCGTCTTGCTCGAGGGCATACTAGAGCAAGTTATTTGGCTTCGGTTTTTGAAAATGCTAACAATGTTAAAGAAGGGATTGTTCGTGGACCAGCCACAGGGTTAACGACTACACACAGCGCAGAAGGTGAGCTTGTCGCGTCTTTTTTAATTGGTAGCGATTTCAGCAGAAGTTATTTGCTAGTAGACACTGGCACTGATTTGGTTTGGTGGCAATGTGGACCATGTAGTCGATGTTATAAGCAAATATATCATCCTATATATGATTCTACTGCATCAAAAACTTTCCAAAAAGTTGATTGCACTAAAGATAATTCGAGTTGTATCACTGAGGATCCAGCTTTTACATGTGTTGAAGAACTGCGTTATTGTCGCTATGATATACCATACGCAAGTGGTATCCAATCAGTAGGTTTCATGGCGTCTGAGGTGATTACTTTTACTTCAGACCATAAATCACAGAGGATTTTATTTGGATGTGGAAAAAATCAAAACGGTGGGAAAGTTATGTTTAGTGGTGCATATTCTGGGATTGTTGGCCTTAGTCGTAGAGTAAACACGAATGATCCAGGTGGATATTCTTTACCATCACAACTTAACGCGACGTTGTTTGCTTTTTGTCTACCAAGTTTTGATTCAGGAGAATCATCTATCCTCAGTTTCAATAAAGCCCCGTGGCCAGGAGCAAGAATGGCAAAATTAATACCAAATTACAGGTTACCTCAATTGCATTTTGTTGATCTTTATGCAATCGTTATTGATGATAAGGAAGTTCCAGTGAAACCATCATGGTGGCAATTTGGTAAAAACTTTAATGGTGGAGTCATCGTGGATACAGGGACCACCATTACACATTTTCCTCAAGATTTCTACATCTTATTTCGCGATATATTTAGATCGCAGGTAGAATATCTTCAAATGGTTGATAATCCAATCGAAGATTTCGACACTTGTTACCAAGACATCGATGGTAGTGAAGTGTACTTTCCTGTTGTGAAGTTGTACTTTGGCAGTAAAAGTCCCGGTTCAATGTTGTTTCTGGCGCAAGAACGAGTTGTACTTCTCATAGGTGATCAGTATTGTCTAGCTTTTAAAGGATGGGATAAAGAATTAACATTATTAGGCTCTAATCAACTCCAAGCAGTAGGATTAACTTTTGATACTTCAGAGAACACTTTGACTTTCGACTTAGATGCATGTGATTGAAGTATACAAAAGTTCAAATTTTAACAACTTAAAGGGTTGTTCAAATTCAATATAAAATGGACTATATATGTTTCATTATTTTCTCTTGCTTTTCTTGTGCACTTTTATGTGTCTTTTAGTTTTATTGAAGACCTTTATCTTGCTGCCATATGACCAGGAGGTCACGGGTTTGAGCCGTGAAAATAGCCTCTTGCAAAATGCAGGATAAAGCTGCATACAATAGACCCTTGTGGTCCGGCCCTTCCCCGGACCCCGCGCATAGAGGAAGCTTAGTGCACTGGGCTGCCCTTTTTTATCTATAGTTTTGGAAGAGATATAGTTTTGCTGTAAACAAACTCTTCCACTTGATGATTATTTCTTTTAAGTCATTGCACCAATTTGACTTTTGGATATGACTTGGCACGCCATATGATCAGAGGACACATGATATGAGTTTGGGCCTTAAGATAAAATAACGTTCATTATTGACTAAATCTTTTTTGCGCCACTCCTATTCTATGATAGTGAAATTCTATTACCATTACATCTTGCAAGGCGTTGCTCGTTCTAAAAAAGGGCAGCCCAGTGCACTAAGCTCCCGCTGTGCGCAGGTCCGGGAAGGATCGGACCACAAGGGTCTATCGTACGCAACCTTACCCTGCATTCTATAAGAGGTTGCTTCCACGGCTCGAAGCTGTGACCTCCTAGTTACATGGCGGTAACTTTACCAGTTACGTCTTCTAGATTTCTCAAATTTCTCATTCGTGCCATGTTCTGTATCATATCATGTGTATGTGCCAATGCTTAAATCGCATAAACTCAACCAAAAAGAATATTTTAGATTTTAGAACCCCACTTGGACAACCGATTATGAAATTGTATTAACGTTTTTATACTATTAGTTCAATTGGATTTCACAATCAAGTGGATGTGAATGGTTATGCTAGCTACAAATGGAAGCTTGTCAGCATAAAAAAAAGAAGTTTAGCTTTAGATTCATGAAACGATACAGAAAGGCATATACTAGCTGTAATTGTAGTGAATTTAATTGATGCACCTTTAGATTGCAACATAAAGAAATTTTATTGTACTTAATCACATGCATCTATGTCAAAGGACAATGTATTTTCTGAAGTATCAAAAGTTAATCCTACACCTTGGAGTTGATACATGCCTAATACTGACTGGTCTCTATTCCATCCAATAAAAGCCAAACAGTAGAGCCCACGATAGTTCACAACAACTCGTTTTTGTGCCAGAAACAGCATTGTACTGGAGTTTACGCTGCCAAAGTACAACTTCACAGCAGGAAAGTATAAATCGCGACCAATTGGATCTTCTTTATAGCAAGTATCAAAAGGTCCAACTGGATTTTCAACCATAGGAATATCTCGTACTTCAGCTCTAAAAATGTAACGAAATATGACATAAAAATCATGAGGAAAATAGGTAAAAGTTGTTCCTGTATCCACGAAAATTCCACCCATCATATCTTGCTTAAAATTCCACCACGAGGGATTTACCTGAACTTCCCTATCATTAATAAAAACTTTATAAAGGTTCACAAAATAAAAAGAAGGGTACCTATAATTTGGTAACAATTTTGCTGATGTTGCTCTTGGCAACTTGCTTATATGGAAACTCAATATAGATCCCTTTCCCGAATAAAAACTCGGTAGACACATGGACATGAGGTTCGCCCCAAATTGAGAAGGTAAAGAATATCCAGCTACTGAAAATGCATCATGCCCAAGTCCAACAATCCCAGAAGCGGAAGCACTGAAATTCTTTTCACCAGTTAATTGATTTTTGCTACATCCAAAGGTAACCCTAATTGGTCTTTGGTCTAAAACAAAAGTAATTACATCATCTGCTATAAAACCTTTTGTTATTGATCTATCTTGGTATTCCACATCATAGATACACTCAAAACTACCTAGATCACAGTGAAAGGCCGGGTCAATAGTCATGCAATCTGAACCTCGTCGATAGCAATCAACTTTTCGAAATGTTTTGGATGTAGTAGAATCATATAGAGGCTGATTTTGTTTGTAGCACTTGTTTGCCTCACATGGTCCACATTGCCACCAAACTAAATCACTTCCAGTGTCTATTAGCAAGTAATTTTGATCATTTGGCTGCCTATCAAAAAAGATGCAACATACTCACCACTTGCGTAGTGAGTATCCGTTGATTTTGGGACAAGTTCGCGCATTATACCTCCTTGTGCATCTTGTTTCGTTGAGATATTTGCATTTGCACCATTTTTGGATTCAAGAATTGAAGCTAAATGACTTGCTCTAGCTTGAGATCGAGCGATTAGTCTTTGAAATTTGATTTTTCAAATACATCACGATGGAAAATAATAAAACTATAGGATGGCATTGGAGGATCTTGAAGCTTAAATGGATCAATAGACATAAATCTTTCTCTAGCTTGCATAATATAAGTGGAGTTAAGGGGTGATAGAGATTTTGTATTGCCCAAAACAAAAAACAGAATAGACAAAATAATTGATATCAAAAGGTAAAAATGGAGGATGTTTTCCATTGGTATGGAACTTCAGTATATCAAGTGTATTTTGCTAATTGCTTGAATTGTTTTTGAATATGTCCACCACTTATTACAATCGTGTAATTAATTCTATGGTGTGAATTTCTCGTAACCTATTCAATTTTATTGCAAAAATAAAAAAAAAATACATAAAATTCTAACCTATTAATTTTATTGCGAATAAGGAAGAAACAACAAAATTAATTAACTATAGAGATCTGTAATTCTGTAATTCTAGGAGAAGCCATAGTGTGAACAACTACGAAGAGACAAGTTCTCAATTTAGCCAAATATCAAAAAATTTGCCCTTTTGCCTTTTCTATAACTACTAAGAGGATCAAAGTTTGATATATTTTGATTTTTTTTTTCAAATTAAAGAAAATATTTGATTTTGCTAGAAAACCATTCCTAAACAGAGCATTGATAAATCTTGTGAAATCTCGTAGGATATATGCTATTTAAAAAGTTTATTTATTTGGATGAAGTTATATATACTAGCAATGTAATATTTTTTTCTAAACAGTAAATTTAATCTATAAAAGCAACTAATTATCTTGGAAATATATTAATTAATATCTATTAAAAGATATAACTTAATTAGCTAGTGACTTGATTGTGTAAATAAATTACTACAAGAAATTGCGGTTTGTGGCGACTCTTTTAATCACGCTAATGTAAGGGCTTTCATTGCGACTTTAAAAAGTCTGCCCCAAAAGTGAGATTTAGTGGCGGCAATAATTTATATATGTATTAAATTTCTTTTTCCATTTTGACTGAAAAGGTTTGTGGTCACTAATCGCAACCAAAGTATTTCAAAATTGATGGATTGAGTAATTCAAATCATTTTAATTTTTTTTTTTTTTGGTGAGAAAGATAAATTGCATTAAACATAAATAGAGGAACTACAGAAGAGGAAGATGCGTACGCATTTGCATGATAGTTGTTTGATATGTGAGAAATAGAAATGCTAGCACTAGCTATCCTATGATAATTGTCCATTACAATGGGGCTATTAGAAGCTGCCATTCCAGATCGTTTGAGTGGTTATCAAAAATGTCCTGATCCACGTCTTCCAGTTGGTGCGACAAGCATGTTATCTTCCTAGTACGAGTTACTCCAGCTTGGTCCTTTTGCAAAAAAGTATTGACAAAATCCGGTGGTTCTTCAAAAATAAATGGTTTATCTGTAGATGGAAAGTTGCATCCTGCTTTAGCTAAACCATCAGCCACCTCATTGCCTTCCCTGTAGGTGTGTGCTATGATCGCACTATGCAGTTGGTCCAGGAGATACCTGCAGTCAGCTTTATGTTAGCATAAACGATGTTATCATTTTGTAACATTTTTAGTACCTCTAGAGCATCAATGTTTATTTCCAGTGGAACCAAGTTGTGTGTATGCGCCAATTCCAATCCATGGAATAGGGCCTTAAGTTCTGCTTGGATGGTGTTGGCATTGTCCAAGTTACCAGCAAACCCTCTAATCCAGTGTCCATGACAGTCTCGTATGGCACCCCCTATACCTGCTTTGTGAGTTGATGTTGAAGCTGCCCCATCCGTGTTTAGTTTATAGTAATTTGGTTTAGGGGGTATCCATTTAATATTTTTGCAGTATATAATTTTTTTGAAATGGCATATTTGCAACGAAATAAGTAAATTCCAGTGCATTGTTGCTAATTAGTTTAATCGAAAGACGTTGTTTTATATTGTTAATTATTGTTACGATTGAGCCAAATATGCCATAATGTGTATGATCTAAAAGTTTGAGCATTAATATGGTGTGGCATTTGGTTGAGCTTTTTGTTTAGTAGTTTCATTAACCACTGTGATGGGTGAGAGTGCGGAAGTATAATGTCAGTAATGTGAGTTATTCCCAGTTCATGCCATATATGAATTATGTTGGGACAACGCAGAAAGAGATGGTTGGTAGATTCTGGATGTGTGTGACATATTTGATATTGATCATTGAATGTTACTCCTATGTGGTTTAGGTATTTTGTTGTTGGTAATCTATCATGCATTATAAGCCAAAGAAATACTTTTATTTTGAGTGGTATTTGAATCTTCCAAATCCAATTGTAAGGAGTTGTGTGTACTTGTGAGTTTAATTCCTGTTGTAGGAGGTTGGAATACATAGATTTGGCAGTGAATTTGCCATGATTGGAGAGTCCCCAATAGATAGTGTCAACTTTGTCTGTGTAGATTGGTACATTGATCCTATTTATTTGGTTTGTGATAGTATCTGGAAGAGAAAAAGGTATATCTGCCCAATTCCAATTGTTTTGATCTCTATAAGTTGCAACATTGCGCCTAGTATGGTCTAAAGGGACGGGACCAATTAGTAAGGAGCGTATAGTGGTGTTTGGAACAATCCATGCCTCCGTCCAGAAATTTAATCTAGAATTTCTACCTAAATTCCATTGTATTCCATGTTGGCATTTTTCCCAGCCTTTAATAATGTTGTGCCAAGTGTTGGAGGAGTTTGCTACAACACGTTTGTTCTTATATTTGTGTATAAGAGTGTGTGCCCATAATTGTGTAGACGAATGGAAACCCTCCATGCTAATCCTGCCAGTAAAGCCTCATTCTTTAAATCCAGCCTCTATATACCTAGACCCCTTGTCACACCTCTTTTTTTTTCCACACAACCCTATTACGTGGTTGAGTTAGAAGAGTTTTTCCAATTGAAGTGACGTTTTGAAAAGGGATTATTTATTATTTAGAGTCGCCACTTGGAATTGAGTTTTGGTGTTCCAAGTCACCTTTTATTGAATCCCTTATCAAAAGGAAGATTTGACTCCTAATTTATGGTCTACGAAAACAGACAACTGAGTAAGGAATTCTGCTGACCGAGGGGAAGGTGTAAGGCACCCCTTAAATTAATTTTTAGCTATTCTTGTATTTTATTGATTATGGCTTATTTATTACCGCTTAATTAATTATTATATATATTTTTTTAATTGTGTTCACCGAGATGCGGTACGCACACAAGGTACTTCCTTGAGGTTAAATATTAAACCAAGGTACGGAATGTACACATGGTTATAATATAATTATTTTAAATTTAAAGGCAGAAAGACGTGGAATGCGCACATAATACTTTTATTATTTAAACATATAAATCCAAGATCCGGGTATGAACACATGGACTAATATATAAAGTGCGTCTAAACTTTTCTAGCGTATTCATTTTTAATAATTTTAAGTTAATGTAAGGTTATTTGGTGAAACCAGCACGTAAGGATAACATTGTAGAGGGATATGTACAACTTAGCCTTTTGTTATTGACAAGTGAGAGATGACCGTAAGCATTACCAAGGATCCAAAGTTGAAATTGAGATTCCAATGGGCTTCTTTTATGCAAAAACGTAACAAGACCATTGATGACTGGTCTTGACAAAACCAAAGGCGGACAGAATGAGCCTTTCAAGCTCAGCTATTAGACCAACTCAAGTACTCATGACTGAATGCTATTAGTCAATTTACCAACTACAGATGTCTGCAAAATAATAATAATTCACAACTTCTAGATAATCAAAAATTATTGTAGCAAATGTATTATTTACAAACTTGTCAATTCTACAACCAGATTAGAATATGAAACAAAATGACTGAAAAAAACAATTTCTTCTCTTGCATGATCTTACAGCAGCCCTGAGTATCAATACTTATGTAGCACTACCTTTTTTACCAAAGTACGTTCCACATAGCAAATTCGTGGATAAATTCATAGCCTAATTCGCAGATACTTTATTATTCAGGTCTGATATAATGAATCATGACTTAACTTATCTAGAAGAGCGAAACCCTTATTTTCTCATTTCTGTCACTACACATTGTGTTCAGACACATCAAACATAGCATAAATCCTTCCTTATTACATAATTTAATTTATTAAAGGCAAAATCAAATTAAGATCACAATGTAACAATATTATATGTTAAGCTAACATACTATCACACTCATGGCTATAAACTGAATGTGGCCAGAAACGCGAAGAAAGAAAGAGAAAAGAAGGACAAAAAGAAAAGAAAAAAAAAAGCAAACAAAATAACTAAGGGAACAAACAGTATTTCATTATAAACTTCAATGAAGCTACAGGTTAGAGATATGTACCTAAGCTGTGCTCAGAAATTGACTATGAAGTGGCAAATAAAAGCTGGAGAAGAGAAGATTGGAACTTTGCTACAAATTCCCAGCAAACTCAGTAACGAAGATCAGCAAACCAACAAATGAATTAGATGGGGGAGATGAGAAAGCAGGATCATGTGCGTGTGTATGTATGTCTTTTTTGTTCTTCTCCGTCCTCTAAGTGGGGGAATTCCACAATATATAGATGTGTGTATTGTATAACTGATGTGAGTAAGTGGTGAGAAGAGTGGGAGAAGTGGGAAGTGAGGGTGAGAAACGTGAGAGTTAGTGGGGAAGGAAGTCACGTGAAGTGGAAGAGTCATGGATGAGTTAAATCACTTTTGAAGTTAAATTTGTTACCAAACTTTTTTTTTTTTTTTTTATATAAAAAAATCACGTACTTGTTGCTTCTTCTTTTTGTTTGTTGTTTATTTTCTTTTATAAATAGAATTCAATTAAATATTAAGACAAAAAACATTAATTAACTAATTCTATATATATATATATATAACACTTTATACTATGCTAAGAAAAATACCATAACTTACTTATTAAAATTCTAATTAAAAGAAACCATATATATATA